TTGCCAGCGGTCCCCACCGGGCCCTCGGCCTCTGGCGTTACTCCCTCGTTACTCACTGCCCGGGGCTCTGAGACTGCAGAGCTCTGACACAACAGATCTTCTCTTTTTTTTTTCCTTCTTTTTTCTCTTTTTGTTATTTAAAGTTTTCCACCAACTTACACAATTCCAACCCAGGTGAGAGATCACGTTACACACGTAGAACTGCATCATTTCTAAAAAGCAGCTCCCTTTCTCTCCTTCTCTCCCCAAACCCAGGAGGGGGGAAACATGAATGAGGTAAAGGAGGCTCTGAGAAACATCGAGCAGAACTACAGGCTCTTCCTGCAGCAGCAGTTCACGTTCATGGGAGCACTGCAACGCACCCGAGAGAACGCGCATGACACGATCAGACCTGTGGCAAGCATCAGCCAGGTACAAAGCATCCAGCACAAAGTTCTCTGCCGCTGAGAACAGGGAGTAGCACAGCGCTGTCCGCACTTGGGCCTCATTCAGGGATGAATAAATGTTTTTACTAAGAGAAGATACACAAAAACTCTCTAGTAACATTTGTGCATAACTCTGCAAACCAGTGGCAAAAGATGAAGTAGGGGAGAGAAACACCTATGTTCAGTCTCCCCATTTACAGAGAAGGAATTTTATTGCTGAGCATTGCTTTATGATTTAATTTAACACTATCATTTCGCTGCAAAGGCATAGCCAGAAATACAGGGTACAAGAAAACCATCAAACCAACCCTCCTTCCCCAGCCACACATGGAATCTGTAATCCTTAACTTGTAGTAACCAGCATGCTTGCCTCTTCCCCCTGGTATTGGTGCTGCTGTATCTTTCTATAGTGCTTATTAAAAATAATGGCTGTGTTACAGAGGTAGCATGATGGATTGAGGGCTGCAAGTCCCAAGTGGGCTAAGGGGTTTTCTGGGCTGGTAAGTGAATTGTCTTGGAATTTTTATAACACAGGATGTTTTAAGTACTGCAAAGAACTTAGACCACCTGCAGACAGAGGGGAAAAAAAATCTCAATAAAATTAGAATTGTGGCTGTGAAACAGCAGAACCCAGGCACAAAACCCAGATGGATGCCAAAGCCAGAGTCAAAGCCAAGCTGTTATTAGGATTAGGACACAGAAGTGAGCTGGTTGTCTTTTCTAAGGGCTGATTCTCTCTGATATAAAGGCTTTGCTTGTAACATTAAAGAGGATCAAGACAAACATTACACTGAAGCATTTTTCCAAAAATAGGCACTGAGATTTTGTATAACATTATGCTGTTTTTTAAAGTCCCAGGTGGCATTGAGCAAGCTTGGACTCTGCTTCTTGGCAGGGGTGGAAGGCCTGCTTCTTGTGGGGGGGGAAACCTCGTAGCTAATGACTTCAGCAATTCCACTGATCCACGGCATCATTTGCGACACGGTAACATGTGAACATGGTGGTGGCAAACTGTACTGCACGGATAGCCCTGAGGGTACAACCACGTTACCCCAAGGGGAGGATGGAACAGGAAGAAGAGCAAGTTACTGGGGAGAACAGGGAGCAACTGGTGCAGCACATACTGGTGATGCGTTGTACAGGAACGGAACCACTGCCAGAGAAAGTTCACAGGGGACAAAATATGACATCTATTTTATTTTGCCACTGTTCGCCTGAAGCAGCCCAACCCTATTTTTAATTTTGCATGGGAGGATGCAAGAATAAAAGCAGAAAATGTAGAAATATGTGTGCTCAGCCTACGGCTGACTTGCCTGCCACCTTTCTTTGCATGTAAACATAGACAGTACAGAAAAAAAATATATTGCACTTAGGTGGGAATACAGCTGCATTTCTAACCCCTAAAAGCTGTTTGTGGTAGCATTTTTAGTGTGGAGTGATGACATTTCTCAGAGAAAAGAGGAGAGCATAGTAAGGTGGAAGGTTCGAAGAGCACACCACAGTCAGGCAACAGCAACAGCTCCTGAAGGCTTCTGGATGGAGCTGGGTATGAAGTCCAGTCCCAAGTGGTTTTGTGAGACAAGCTCCTCAGCCAGCGATTCAGATCACCCAGCACTGCAGAGCCTGGCTGTGGTCATGGCATCGGCCCAGCGCGGGGGCTGTCTGTGGACGCCCCTGGCTGCGGCTCAGC